GCATTAAATGTGTAGATTGCTTTGGGTACTGTAGACATTTTAATAGTATTTGTTCTTCCAGTCCAGGAGCATGGAATGTATTTTCATTTCTTTGTGTCATCTTCAAATGCTTTTCTTTTTTTTTAATGACTTTTCACGGTTGATTCTTTTGAATTGAAATCCAGATCCAAACAAGGTCCATCCATTGCTTCATCACCAAGAGCCCCACCCCCCTTTCCCCTGCTCTTGCCCGGAGCAGAGGTTAGGGCATCTGTCCTGTAGAACGGCCCAGGTCCTGGGCCTGGCTGATGACTTCTGCATGGTGTCATTTAATCCAATCCTTCATCTCTTTGATTACCCAGAGGCTGGAATGAATTTGCATTTAGCTTTTGGCTTTATGTATTCTCCTCAAGTGTGTGTGTGTGTGTGTGTGTGTGTGTGTGTGTGTGTGTGTGTGTGTCAGCGGTGCCTGGACGCTGCTGTGGGAAGTACCACTGCCTCTCCCAAGGAGACGCTGGAGGCGCAGCTACTCTGCTTCTTGTGATGTTTGCTCCATCCCCATGTCTGGAACGTGACAGCCTGTAAGGATTCAGAGGAGTTGTTTTACCTTCCTGAGTCTTGGCCTCCTCATCTCCAAGAGAAGAGAGAATACCTCCTCCCCAAGAAGATTCATGGGCTCACAGATGCAAACATGCTTTCAGACTGCAAGCTGCCATATAGGCATGAGGCATTAATAATAATAATGGTCCTTTCAGCAATTAAAATTTCCTTTGAAAAAGTATTTCCCTTCCTAAGATACCTTTAATTGAGAACATGGCAATGTTCTTTTTTTATTGGAGAAAGCTCCCAGTACATCTGTGAGGATTCAAAACCACCAGCTTTTTCACCAATAGACAGGGCAAAGAGGTGATTAACTCCTCGTGGATTCTGGGCACTCAAAGCTAACAGCAAGATTAGTGCTCCCCACATGGAGCAGAAGTTTATTTAATAGCCCGACTGGGGAAGACTAAAATTCTGTGGGCTTCTAGATCAGAGGAGCAGGAGGCATCCCTGAAGGGGAGGGGAAAAGCTCCTGAAACTTTTATGGGATGGTTTCCTTTTATCAAAAGAATCTTCTACATTCCAGCCCCGCTGACGGCATCTTGTAATACTTTTTTCTGAGGACCAGGAGGAGAATCTTTTAAAGGGATTTTGCTTATAGATTGTCAGGAGCAGACTCGCTATTTAAATTTTAACTTTCTCAGCAAGCTTGCAGCTCAGAGGCTGGTGAATGAGCAAATCCTTCCCAAACTACTATTTTTTTCTTTTTATCAGTACAAATCAGAGTGCCCATGAGATGGATCGGGTTCATTTGTATCAGTGCTCAGTTTAATCTCTCTTCCTGCCAGACCTTTTATCTTCTAGCAGGGAGAGGGAAAAGAATAAATAAAGAGTTCTGTAGATGCACCGGGAAGACTAAGGGGAGCCCCAGAGTACAGGGTGGCAGATCTCACTGAGGGGGTTACACGCTGTTTATACCCCGAGTGAAGGAGCAGAACCCACTGGGCAGAATCTGGGAGGGAGGGCAGGTGGGACAGGCAAGGCGGCCGGTGCTCTCTACGCATCCCCCTCCCCATGGTGATGCTCACTGTCTCAGTCCACGGGCTCCCCCACCATCCTTCTGACTCTGCCCCTTTCTGAAATTGCTGCTGTACACTCTGTACCTGACCGTGCAGGTGAGCTGTTACTTACAGACAAAGTAATCTTCAGGAAGAGAGAGATAGAAGAAGGGACGTTGTATTGAGCACCGCGTCGGTCAGGGGTCCTGCAGGAAGCAGGTGGTAATCTCTATCAGAACAGTCAGGGAGGAAGTTTCGAAAGGGAAGGTCGGGGAGCCTGGGGCTGGAGTCCTGTGACTCAGGACATGGAGGCAGGGGAGCTGCAGGGCCCTGAAAGAGAGACAGCCTAGAGCTGCCCCGCGAGCAGAGCAGAGCCATCTCCTCCATGAGCAAGGACGACCCAGCCTTGCCAGGCAGGTCACCGGGGACACAGAACGGGGAGGGTAAAGTGGGGAGGGACAATGGAGAAGGTGGGAAGGGGACAGAACATCCAGCACAGGGTCCACTGTGGGCTGGGCTTTGTGCTGGAGGCATCAGTGCACGTCTCTTATTTCACCAGTGACCATCTCGGGAGTTGTGATATTTCCTCATTTTTTTCACCATTTAAACAAATGTTTAATTGCAGTAATATGTGCATAACATAGAATCTACCATCTTTTTTTTTATTTTTTTAATTTTTTTTTTTTTTTTTAATTTCTGAGAGAGAGAGAGACCATGTGAGCAGGGGAGGCTCAGAGAGAGAAGGAGACACAGAATCTGAAACAGGCTCCAGGCTCTGAGCTGGCTGTCAGCACAGAGCCCGACAAGGGGCTCAAACCCACCAACTGTCAGATCATGACCTGATCCGAAGTCGGACGCTTAACCCACTGAGCCACCCAGGTGCCCCTACCATTTTGACCAGTTTTAAATGCAGAATTCAGTGGTGTCAGTGTACACTCACAGTGCACCGCTGATCTCCAGAATTCTTTGCATCTGGCAAAACTGGAGCCCTGTACCCATTGAATGTGACTCCCATCTCCCCCTCCCCCACCCCAGGCAGCTGCCAGTCAACCCTCTGTCTGCGCATCTGACCTCCAGGGACCTCATATAAGCAGAATTCTACACTATCTGTCTTGTTGTGACTGCCTTATTTTCAAGGCTTAACCATGTTGGGGTGTGTGTCAGAATTTCTTTTCTTTCTTTTCTTTTCTCTTGTTTTTTCCTTTCTTTTTTTTTTTAAATCAAGGCTGAGGAGTATGTCACTGCATGGAGAGATCACGCTTGGCCCATCCATCCATCCGTCTGGATACTAGAGCCACTTCCACCTTTTGGTTGTTGTGAATACTGCTGTGAACACGGGTTCCTAACAAGTATTTCTTTGAGCCCCTCCTTTCAGCTCTTTGGAGCATAAATTTTGAAGAAGAATGGCTGGATCAAATAGCAGTTCTATTTTTAGTCTTTAGATGAACCCCTGTACCGGTCTCCCCAGCAGGTAGTCACGTTTACGTTCCCGCCAACAGCGCCCACGAGCCCCAACCCCTTCATCCTCCCCCACACGTGCCATTCCCTGACTTCTGTAGAGTGGCCGTCCTAGGGGGAGCCAGGTAGATCTATCTCACTGAGGTTTTGACTTGACCCCCCCACATCCTTTTTACAGAAGAAGCTCAAACAGCGTAAACAACTGTATGTGGAGCAGCGGTGTCCAACTGTGGCCACCGTGTGTCTGCTGTCTTCGGAATGAAAGCTGTCTCCACTGCAGTGTGACATGGCAGGGACAGGCCCTGCTCCCCACAAGCAAGTCTAGTTACATGGACCCGAGAGAAGGCTCTTCCGTGGGCCACATGGACAAATCGCTCCTTTCTGTCAGGGAGCCTGCTCAGCGAAGCAGATCACCATGAGAGGTTTGGTGCTTCTAGAAGGGTCTCAGACTCATAAAGCAAAAAGAGAGATATGTGTGAGTCTTCAGGAGCTCCCTGGGGACGCACACATGGCAGTTTTAAGGAACATAAAGAGATGGGAACCTTATCAGGCATACATTACCTATATCACTGAGCATCAAAGGCCAAGAACACTGAAATGCCCAGCTGGTGGTGAGGACCACATTCCCAGAAAGCCATTTTTGGAAGCAGCTTTATTTGAAATAATTAAAAAGATTCAGCCTCTGTAGTCCAATTGGCATCGTGCTGCAGAACAGCCTAACTTTGTGGGTGAGGAGTCCGCTCACTCCAGCTAGCAGTAGACGGCTCCATGCGGGAGTCCCATAGGCTGCCCTTCAGAGCCTCGTTTCATTGCCAAGCAGTCTGTGGCTACTTCTTGGTGACTCCCAAAGGCCCAGCATGCATTTCTGATGAGCTCCCGGCATGGACTTGTGCACCCTGAGAGCTACGGTCCTTGTGTTCTTGCTTGGTGCGGGGAGCACGCCCACAGCCAGGAGCACTGGCAGTCTGAACATTGCCTGCCGCCACCGTGGAGAGCATGCCTCTCTTCTCTGACCATCTCCAGCGTGGGCGAGAGGTGTTTTACCACCACTTCCAAGGAACAAGAAGACAGTTTGATCTCCATGAGAACACCCCCTGTCCCGCCTCCCATTTCACTTCACTGATAACTTGAAAATGCAGTTCTGGCATCTGAATGATTCCAAATGAGAAGTGCCAGTGGGTGTTCAGATTCACTGCCAGGTCATGTTCATTGCAGGGTATCATTCTGTGAAATGATTGGGTCAAAAAACATGTTTAAAACTGCAGGGAAAAAAAAAAAACCTACAAAGGTGTAGGCGCCCAGCATAATCCTCTGAAGCCGTGCCGGCAAGAGCGCACTTGGCTGACGGAGTTGCTCTTGCGCACCTGCCGGAAGGCTGGGTGCAAAGATATACCAGACGCGCCGCGAATTTCATTACGCCTGTCTCCAGCCAAAGCCACGCAGGGGTGCGGCACTGTGATGGGCCGCCACGCAGATGGGTTGCAAAATGCACAGCCCATCTGTCTTTATCATGCTCATTTCCTCTTTTATTAAAATGTTAATGAATATAGTTTTTATTTATCATTTGGTGGCATGTGTGGCATCCTGTTCTGGGCGACAAATCTGCAGTCTGCCTTACCGTGTGAGCTGACAGAGACGCAGGAACAGGGAATATCTTGGTTCTGTTTAAACTGCCACATGCAGGTTGAGCAAGAGAATTCCTTCACTTGTTGACAGCAGCGTGGGGGCAACGGGAGGTACGCTGCGCTTGGAGTGGGCCCCTGAGTTTAACTCCAGGCCCACCGGCTACAGGCCGCTTACCATGTGGCCACGGGCATTGGTTTCCGCTTCCATCAAACGGGGGTGACCACTCCATCTGCCAGGAAAGCAGATGAGAGGACTTTATGGGGACGCATTTTACATTCAGTTGTTTTCACTCAGACATGTGCTCATATGGTTCTGAATTCGTTTTGCTCGCTCTTGCAGACTCTCCGTGGAAAGTGCATCTGTCAAACGTCGGCCCCGAGATGACAGGCGTCACCGTGCGCGGCCTAACTCCAGCTCGCACCTATCAGTTCCGGGTGTGTGCCGTGAATCAAGTGGGCAAGGGTCAATACAGCACAGAGACGAGCAGGTGTGTGAGTGCGTGGCCCTCGGTGGCGGCAGGGGCAGCTCGGCCTGGACAGACACAAAGCACCCAGTTAGGAGGAGCGAACAGCACCAGGGAGCCACCCGCCCCCCTTCGTGAGGTTGGCCACAGCGGGCACAGGAAAAGCTGCAACCAAGGGAGAAACGCAGGCACTCGTGGGTGGTCCTGGTGGGGTTTTCCCTAATCGCTCTGAGGGAAGTTTCTCACACTTCCGAGGTACCCGGGCGGGGCTGACACAGGCTCTCCCCAATCGCACAGGCCTCTGTATACATGCAAGGCACAGCTGACAGCATTCCCCCGCCCTCTCCCTATCCCAAGTGCCATCAGGACAAGTAAACGCAGTCCCCAGTCCCAGGGCGACCACTGTGGACGCCCATTCAGATGAGACCTGGGAGAATGGCTCCCTCCCATCCACACATCAGCATGCCCTCCCCCGCCCGCCTGGGCATTCGCGGGGCCCACATCGTGGCACAATTGAGATCTAAGTGGCTTTTTTCAAAATGTGGGAGTGTGATGTGAGAAATATTGAAAGAGCCCAAGGAGAGGCGATGAGGAAGGCGTCTGGGGCTGCAGGCCTGCACACTGGCTCACTCAGCCTCGTAATCCCTTCCTGCAGTGGAGGTGCCCTGGGTTCCTCAGACACCATCAGGTCACCTCCTGCGTCTCCTTGGTGCTGGCCTCACCGGCTTTCTGTTCCATTGCCTCCGCCATACCTGCTTCCTGCACATCCCTCTGGCACGGTCAGCTGTGCACTTGGTTTGGTCCATCCCTCAATTTCCGTAAAGTCATTGGGCTCCAGATTCAGCGAAACAGAGAGTGCAGATGGGGACACTTTGTTTCGGAAGCTGATGTCTCCCTCCCTCCCCACGTTCTGCGTCTAGGTTGATGTTACCAGAAGAGCCGCCCAGCGCTCCCCCGAAGAACATCGTGGCCAGCGGGCGCACCAACCAGTCCATCATGGTCCAGTGGCAGCCGCCCCCCGAGACAGAGCACAATGGGGTCCTGCGCGGGTACATCCTCAGGCGAGTAGCCTGTGCTTGGCACTTGCAAGCCGGTGCTTGGAAGAGTCAGGGCTCTGTTTTGCTGGGGGTGGCCTTGCAGAGAGCATCTGCGTATCCAACCGTGGTGCGTACACATGAGAACCCAGCCTCGACGGGGACGTTCTGTTGAAGAGTGAAGAGGGGACGTTATGAGTCGGGGTCAAGGTGTGCTATCCGTCGTAAATCCAGGGACCATGCGTTATTTACTATAACCATTCTTAATTAATAATAATGCAACCAACTTAATTATTACCAGTCGTTACCATGCTGACCACTGCGTTGTTCAGAATTGCCAGGCTTTCTAGCGTTTCAAAGAAATGTTTTACAATCTGCCTTTTTATGTGCGATCACACAGTTTCCAGACGTTGGAAATGAAGCCAGCATGCCTTGGAACACAGTGCAGGCCGAGCTCACACATCTGCAGGCCAGACGTGGCCCAAAGGGTGGCCAGTTTGCTTTCTCTGCCTTATAAGAGTGGTCAAGCTTCTAAGGATGCTGAGAGGGCTCTACTAGCACTTGGCTGGGTTTGAAACAAGGAACCTCTTTTGCCAAAACCACTGCTAATTTTGAAATTGCACCAAATGTGATAATTGCAGCCGTTCATTGACACAGTAGTGAACAGGAAAAAGAAAAGCGGTATTAAAGGGTGATTATAAAATCACTTCCAACACATGGTACAGCCACGGATGTGTTTGTTCACCCACACATGCTGTGTCTCCCTCCCCAGCCTCCCCAGCGGGAGTCTGTCACTCCCTTCATCCCAATGCCCAGCCTGTGGTGCCCATTCTGAGCGTGTGATCAGAAAATAAGGGTTAACAAAGGTCTCGGGGACTAAATGTAATTTCTTAGACAAATGTAAGAAGTTATGAAGGTATAGCTTCTTTATCTCCATTATCTTTGCATGTGGAGGAACTTTCCTTCCGTTATAAATTTATGTAATCAGCACCTTTATCCACATGCATGTATAATTAGCCCATCACCCAAGTTTGCTGCTATTCTCAAGTCTTCCTCAAGCATGTGACTTGTCCTCTAAACATAAGCTAGGCCGTTATGCACCTGAAGTGGTTTAAAGGTGGCACATGGGGCTGGAGGACTGGAATCAGCACTCAAGGCCCTTCTGGTCACTCTTTCCCCAATGTCTTCCCCCTTCCAACAAGAGACCTGGCGCGGGGGCAGCTGTGGGCTTGGGGGAGTTCCCAGATCCCTCCAGAAAATGAGCTGCCCCTGCTCCCCGCCACACGCAGGCCCAGGTCTCCTGTCTGTTGTGGCTGTCATTCCTGTCCCATACTCATCAGCTAATGAAAACCGTTTCTTTGCCCTCTGCCCGGCCTTTCACATGCACGTCCTCCCAGCCGCCTCTGTCTTTCCTTGAGCACACGGAGAAGGTTCCTCCGGCTCTTGCTGCCAAGTAAGGACTTTTAAAAGTCAGCCCACAGAAGCCGGCTCAGGGCGTGGGGTTTAATAATAGAACCCCTCTGATGTTACAAGTCCCCATCGGAGACTGCACATTTCTCTATTTTGTGGGATTACCGCCGTTAAAAGGATTTTCCATGATGATGTCAGGAGACTCGAGTGCCAGGAAGGAGGGCGTCTGTATTTGTAGGGGTCTAAATCAAGAAAGGCCTAAAATGAGGGTGCACTACCCAAGGCCTGTGAATATCAAAGTTTTCAGAAATTAAAGACCCGTGCCAAAACAAATTTGCTGGGAAACATTTCCAAATCATCCTCCAGCCTGCACATCAGCTCTGTTTGCAAGTGTGTGTCCTCCAGGGCACAAGGCTCTGTGTCAGAGCTGTAGCACAGTCCACGGAAGAACAAAACGGAAATGAATCACCTCCGTGGCTCTGGCTGTAAGAAGTAGTTAAGATGTGTGCGCGGCAATAAAATATTTATAATAATGGGCAGGGCGCTTCTTTGAGAGGAGCACAGGGGTTATGTCTTTAAAAACATCCTCCTGTTTATTTCCATATAAAAAAATGATCTTGTTCTGTGCGAGACAGTCTCCAGGCAACGCCTCCCACCAGGCAGAGGGCTGCGCCCCGTGCATCTGTTATTCATGTGACCTTCACAGACGTCCTGTGAATGTTACAGAGGCACCCGAGCCATGGGTCAGAATGGACCAACCTGCCCGCTGCCAGGAGAGGAGAGCAGCTGCTTCCCAGACATGAATCCCGGGGTCTGTTTTGCACGATCCTGTAAACAAGGGTCCAGGAGATACAGCTCATGTAGGCCTCACATGCTTCCTGGAGGAGCCGTGTTTTTTCAAAACCAGAAATAATTACTGCGTGCTTCGTACCATCACGTGTCCTTTGTGCCCATCATTTGGCTTTCTTCTCACGACAACCCCGTGAAAGGCCCTTATGGTGATGTCCTTTCTGAGAGCTAAAAACCAAGGCTCGGAGACATTACGAGTTTGCTCGAGGCCCCAGCTCATCAGTCTGCTTTTCCCTGGACTGTGTCCTGCATCGTGGTGGGTCCACACTAATGAGCTGCTCTGAAGTGGCCATGCCTGACGTGTGCCATCTTGGTTATTATAAGTGGTCCTGGGCGCCATTCACACGCCAGGTCGCCCAAGTGCTGCTGGGGGGCCAATCCTTGCCATCTTCCAAATGGTGCCCTCACTATCTCAGTGCCATTTATTTTGTAGGTGGGGAGTTTGAGTGGGAGTATCTGGCTTGCGGGTTCTCCGACGCCAGGCCTGTGTCCCCGTGAGCCACTCCTTGAAGGCCATGATGTTATATAAATAAACTTAACCCCGGCTGGGGGTGTGGGTAGTTCAGTAAAGGAATAGTGAGTCAGTAGGTATCAGAACCGGATGGAGTAGGAAAGCAGAAATGCGGTATGAGGCATTAGTTCTAGTGTTTGCCCCTCAAAGGGGAGCAACTGTCAAGCCCCACATCCCCTTTCAGGTGGGAGGCAGGAGGCAGCCTCGGGCCTTCTTGCTGGTCCAGTGCTGCCTGCTCTTGATAGTGTATTTTCCTGCCACACAGGCCTCACCTGCACACACAGTCTATGGCTGGAAGGCCACCCACCGAAAATCCTGATTTTCACAAAGAACCTCACATTGCCATCTCCGTGCTTCCTACTGTATTTGCAGCTTTCATGCTCTTTGGAGAGTGCTCTTGTCCTTTGAAGGGCCTGAATTCTGGGGTTTCTTCTCCCCTCCCCCACTGGCGGCAGCAGCCTTGCTGGGCCTTCCCCTGTGTGCCCAGGCACTCCTTCCGCGGCCAGTACAGGTGAAAGGCAGGGCCCTGACCCGCCATCAGGAGTCCTGTTGCCCTGTGTCCCCTATTCCCTCCTCCCGCCCCCCATCAGACAAAGCCACATCTTCCTGAGCAAGAGCCGCCTCCAGGACAGGCTCTAGAGGCTCCAGGAGCTGTGTCACGACTGCGGTGTCGCTCCCAGCTCACGCCCCCGCGCTCCCCCCGGGGAACCAGGTTACTTCTAAAGCCCAAGTCGTGAAGATCCTTCCCTGCCCCAAATCACGCCACGAAAGCCTCTTGTAGTACAAACAGCAATTTCATAACTTACACATTTTCTGAGTCCTGAGTCATGTACATCACTTTTAACACAGATACAACTTGAAAATTATACTGTTCGTTCCACACATTTCCTTTTCAAACACAGAGGTACGGTCGGCATAGAGCACTGTCCCAGCGTCAGGTGCACACGGAAATAATTCCCCTTTGTACACGCTGCAGCCTGACACCCGCAATCATCAGGTCACCATCAGGCACGTACACTGAACCCTTCACCCATTTCATCCACCCAGGCCCCCTTACAGCCAGCTTGGCCCCCTCGGCATTGAACCAGTGCTTTGGAAGTGGGGACACCACCGAAAGCCCCCTTTCTGGTTCTGGGGCCTGTGCGGACAAGTCTAGACTTGCTAGACGGAAGAGGCCTCCCACTTCTCGGCTCTTCCCCACATTTTGGGACCAAGGGAGGGATGCTGTCACTCCACAATCACTGTTATGGCGGCACCAACAGGAACCACACCTGGAGTTTCCGGTGCTAGGCCGCTGTGCTCCGCAGACGAGTTACACTTAAAAAGCTGTAATTTTTCCTTCACCATAACACAGTTGCAACATCAGTTCCATTTTGCCCAGAGCTCATGATCACCGAGAGATTCAGCGACACTGTGTTTGAGTGGTTGGCTAGGACATGGTATTGTCTGGGGCTGACCTCTGGCTTCCCTCTCGTTTGCTGACCTCGTTTCCGTCCGACTGTGCGGAATCACCGCGGGTGCGCCCGCAGCCCGATTCCAGCCATCTGTCCATGCTCTGATGTAGGTACCGCCTGGCCGGCCTGCCCGGGGAACACCAGCAGCGGAACATCACCAGCCCGGAGGTCAACTACTGCCTGGTGACAGAGCTGATCATCTGGACACAGTATGAAATCCAGGTGGCAGCTTACAACGGAGCGGGCTTGGGAGTCTTCAGCAGGGCCGTGACAGAGTACACCCTACAAGGAGGTAAGCTTGCTTTCCTGCGAGGTCTCGCAGTCTGCTGTAGAGCAGGGCGTGTCATGTTCCACAAGAGCATGCTGGGAATACAGATGAAGGGCCTGGTCCTCTGTGGGGGAGGAGAATCGTCACATTCGTCATTCAGTCTCTCTGTTCCTCAACTCTTGCACTGCTGTGGGAGGGACACGGAGAACGTTCTAGATGCTTGCTTCTGGGCAAATAGGCCAGGGAGTATCCACACACATCCCTCAGTCAGTCCACTCACTCTAAGAAAGATCTGCGGAACTGCCTTTTCCTAAATGGAATAATGGTGTTTTACATAGGAAAGCTGGCTGTGGAGACCCGTGTGATCCTGGGAACGTTTTTTGCAGAGAATGATTACTCAGAATCTGGTGTTTAGTAATATGCGCTATGATTATTGGTAATGGAATTTGCAACTTGGTGCTCCTTTTTTTTTTTTTTGTTTTGTTTTGTTTTCTTTTTCAGTTATATGAGCCAAATAGTTTACTAGATGGGTAAACACCCCTCCCCCCCCACCACCCTCCCCAAGGATGACCAGTCAGAAGGACATAGAGAGAGTGCTACAGAGAGCATATGCTCCGACCCAACCCCCTCGCTTCAAGGCAGAGTCCCTGCTGTTTCCTGGAGGACCCGGGGCTCAGCCCCAGGGAGCGCTGGCTTTGGAAGCACGTTCCACTGTGCTTTCTGCAGGAATAAATGGACCCTGTCTGGGTGCAGCTGCATGTGCCCACAGCACCCTGATCCTGCCCGGGGAAAGTGATTTCCCCGCAGAATCGAAAGCTCTTTTCATTCAGCCGTTTTAGCCTCTCCCAACTCACAGGTGTGGGTTTATTTGCTTAGGCATTTTTACTGCCACCAGGCCTTGACCTTTTTCAGATGTCACGGTTTCCAGCTGCCCACTTCTTTCCCCAAATCATGCCTGGGACCTAACATCCCTTGATATTACATACTGTTATCATCACCCCTTATAGATCAGCTATTGATCATCTGAAAGTCCATAAAGCCTCCTTTATAAATTGAGTCAGTTCTGCCTCCGCGGTGAAATATGTCTGTGGCGGAAATATTTAACATGGATGACAGCCGGGAAGGACCTCCTCGTCTGCATGTGAGTCATGATTCCTCATTAGATAATGGAGACAGCTAAGCACCTGGACAATTAATGTTTGCTCTAATTTGCCTACCTAATAAAATAACAGGAGATTTGGAAATCCTTAAAATAATGAATATTGCTATTAAGAATCCCCTATTACTGTTAACTAGGACTGCTTCGTTTTCTCACTGGTGCATTTGGGTCCTGTGCAGGGCACCCGGAGGCACATCTCCACCGAGCCGAGGAGGGCTTCAGCCCTAGAGTTGGGCTCATACTGGGGGGCCATTAAAGGTTGAGGGCAGTGAGCAACCTGGGCAGAGTGCTATATTAGGAGGACCAACCTGTCAGCGGAGGTGCACGCAAGGGGGTGTGGGGGGAACCCCATCAGCAACTCTAGATGAAGCTCAAGTGCTCGGGCTATGAAATGGAGTTCCCTACTGCTCTGACGCAGGCCATGGGAAAAGTGTGACTGATGTGTTTGGGTGCTGCTTCGTAGTTTTCAGAAATACGTCAGCTCTGTTCCCTCTGTGTGCCCTGCAACAGCGGACACGCACCGCGGACACTCACGCCTTGCACCTGTCCCTGGGTCGCTGCGTGTAAACGGTGGCGGGGGGGGGGCAGCCCCTCAGGTCGCTGGTGGGGATAGGACAGAACAGGGCAGCTTTGCGTGCAACCACTGACACGTGAGGAAGCTGAACACTGCCTAGCTCGAACGTAGCTGGCCTGAAATGCCGGGATGCAGGGCTGGGCTGAGACAGCGGGATGGGCGGCCTCCGGCCTCTGGACCCAGCGATCTTATGGAAGGAGAACGTGACTAGGGTGCAGCTCCCCGGAAGGGGTCGCCCTCCTCCTCCAGCTGAGAACCTGACTTCCATCACCTCTCTGTGCCACAGTGGTTCCCGATGTCTTTCTTTCCCTTAACTCTTGATGAGCTCGAGTTCCCGAATGGTGCTTTGTGCAGCTTTCCCATCCGTACCCCGGCTTATGCAGCTCAGTTGTCTTCTCCCGGTCCAAGAGTTGGCTGGCTGGTGTTGCCGCCCAGAGCCTGGACCCCACCCCCCACCCAGGTCACAGGGGCACCCAGGGGACATGGTCGTGACTCCCACCCCCCTTCACTGCAGGTGTTTCTGCTTTGATGCTGTGCCCTCCTGACCTGGGCATGGACGCAGGCAGCACAGTGCCCTTGTCCCCCGCTCTGGGCGTACACCCTGTCTCTGCATGTGGTTCCGACTCTCCCTCTGTGCTTCACGTGACCATAACGCCCCTGGAGAAAGGACCCTGTGCATCTGTTTCCAAACCCTCCCCTACTCCTAACCCTACCTCTCTCTGTCCCCTGGTCTCTAGACAGAGATTCTCAGGCTTTCGACAGCCTCTGACCCTGACCCTCCTTTGAGGGGCAGGCCTGAGCCCCAGGATAAATTGGGATGAAGCCCTCACTGACCGCAGTGTTGGGATGCTATCCCTTGGGCTTGGCCGTGGCACTTGTCAGGTATCAGGAGGGGGCACAAGGCCAGGGGAGGCAGCGGCCGTACAGCATGAGCGCTCACACCGTGCCCGTCCAGCCCCACTTGGAGCATCCCCGTCATCCACCCCACAGCCAAACAATGGGAACCAGCTTGTAAATCCTGTCCCTGAATCAGTGTTCCCACCCAAGAACCGACACAAGTAAAAGAGCACTTAGACATGCAGTTGGGAAGAACTGGGGGTGGAGACAGGGAAGCTGGTCTGGAGTGGGGGCAGAACAAACCAGATAAAAAGTGATCTGATTGGGAGGGAGGCATTAGAAAGAAAAATGGCCACAGCAAGGGGCCGTGAATAATTTAGGGGGCCGGCAATGGAGAGCAGGGGTTGTGATCTGTCTTCCCACACATTTGTCTGTCTGCTGACCCCCAGAAACAGCCCTTTCTTCCCAGTCCATCAGGGCCTGACTCGACCTTTCCTACTTATCTGCCTTCAAGAAACACACCGGCCTTTCTGAGCCTCCGGCTGTCCACTATAAAACCATATGGTCACAGTCTCTGCCCCAACTCCTTGTGAAAAAACAGCCCTGAAAGCCCCGAGCTCATAACCAGTATCCCCGTTGCTGCTGCTGTTCCCCTTACTCCTTCTGTGGCACTGCCCCGCATCTGGAACTATACTGTCTGCATGTTTCTGCAGCCACAGTTGTTCAGAAAGAAACGGGCTCACTCTCTCTGCTAATAGTAAAATCTCAAGAACTGATGCATGCACCTACTGTGTGCTCGGCACTGTGTGATGGGCTGCGGCATGATGTGTGCACCTACTGTGTGCTCAGTGTCATATGATGGGCTGCGGCACCGATGTGCATGCCTACTGCATGCTCCGTATTGTGATGGGCTGTGGCACCGAGCAGGAGTGGGGAACACACCTGACGCAGAGTTGAACCTGGGGACTTACAGCTGAGGCCGGGAGGAAAGACTAACATTTGTGAAATAAGAGCAAGAGCTGCAAAAGAAACCAGCGTCCCTAGTGTGCAGTCACGCCCCATTTATCCACAAGATCCATGTTACAAGCATGCTTCAGATTGACAATAAGAGCCCGAGGAGGATGTCATCGATGCATAGGGGGGCTTTACTGAGATCTGCGTAGGGGACTGCATCAGAGGAGTTGGGGCTCAGCTGTCTATAGTGGTTGGAAATAGAGTGCAGCTTCTACAAGCAAACCCAAAATAACTGCTTTAAACAAAATAGAGGTGGGGCTTTGTCTTCCTCTCACCAAGAGTGGGCATTCAGCTGTGCATGGTCTTAGTGGCAGCTCTGTGGTCACCAGAGGGTCAGACTCCTTTTTGCTTTGCCATCTTTAGCATTTGCCTCATGTTTGCAGGCTGGCTGCTGGGATGCCGATGGTTACATCCACATTCTAGAAAGAAGGCACTGGGGTACGCCTTGTGGCCAAGTATGGAAGTATGCTTGCCTTTGAAGAACTTTCTTAGAAGTCCCATCTGCTGTTGACTTATGCTTACAATTCATGGAATATCTCCGTGCTAAAAGCCTGGAAAGGTGCTCTTTCCATTGGATACCTTTCTGTCCGTTGCTAAGAAAGGAAGGAGGGACAGACAGTGGAGGGCAGCTGGCTGCCTCTGCCTTGCTCTCTACAGTGACTCCTGCTGCAGAGTCAGACCCAGAGGATATGCAGTTTCTAGGCATAAAATTGTATGATCGTCTGTCTCACGGTCGGCTGCACACAGAGCCCCACAATCCCTGGGAATCGCCCACCTAAGAATGACCAAAAAATCGGGGTGCCTGGGTGGCTCAGTTGGTTAAGTGTCCGACTTCAGCTCAGGTCATGATCTCACGGTTTGTGGGTTCGAGCCCTGTGTCGGGCTCTGTTCTGGAAGCTAGCTCAGAGCCTGGAGTGGAGCCTGCTTCAGATTCTGTGTCTCCCCCTCTCTCTGACCCTCCCCTGCTCACACTGTCTGTCTGTCTGTCTCTCTCTCTCTCTCAGAAATAAATAAAAAAATTAAAAATAAAAAAAAAAGAGCAGAAAGCAGCCCCACGGCTCCCAGGGCCCTCAGTCTCACACCCACAGCCCATGGTCCATCTGGGCACCAGCTGAGCGTGCTTGCTGCCCTGGGAGCCCTTGTAGGTGAGCCTGGGGCTTGGGGTGCCCCTGGGTGCTGACACCACGTACAGAGAAGTCTGCAGGCCCGAATAATTTAAGTGTCTGCATATCAGAGGGGAATAGAATAACTCATACAATTAATTATTTGTCAGCCTAATTTGGAAAATTATTGGGATGTATACGCACATAACTCTGGAGACTGTCGGGACGCCATGGGAACAGCAGGAAACGTGCAGCCTCGGGAAGAAGACGGCTTCCGGCCAGCCCGCCTGCTCCTTCCTCCTCCCGTCAGCCAGGCGGCAGACCTGATCCATCAGGG